TAAAGGGTGCACATGTCTTTCTCTATGCTGTTGCATGTTTGAAGTGGTCCATAATTAAAAAGTAATTGAATAATTTTAAAAGATATTCTTGCTATATCATGTGATACTGCGTTTCTTTCCTCAGATCTGCTCATTGTGACCTGGGAATGCATTCAATGCTATTTAACGAGTCTATGATGAACTTTAGCTCAACACAGTGCTTTAGGCACCAGAGGGGATATAAAAGAAATGAAGTGACCAAGCCTTTGCCAACAATCTTTTTCAAGTGAATATTTAGAACCAAGAAACAATGAGCCATAAACTTAATAGAGCAAACCTATATATACAAGGAAGTGCCGTATTGAATATTATTGCCCAAATACAAGATGCAATGACAAAGTGCTATGGTGAGTGAAAATCTAATCAATGCTGATTAATTTAAACCTGAATAAAACAACATTTCACACCCACTATTACAGCTAAAATAAAAATGGCTGACATGACTAAAAGTTAGTAAGGGTGCAAAGCAGCTGGAATGTTCTTTCACTGCAGGTGGGACTGTAAAATGGTACAACCCCTTGAAGAACTGTTTAGCAGTTTCTTTTAAAGTTACATATATCGTCTGGCTGCTGTGGCTCAGTGGTTGAGCGTTGACCCATTCACTAAGAGGTCGCCAGTTTGATTCCCGGTCATGATACATGTTCATGGTAGTCCCCAGGGAGGGGCATGCAGGAGGCGGCCAATCGATGTTCTCTCTCATCGATGTTTCTACCTCTCTTTCCCTCTCACTTCCTCTCTCTCTCAAATCAATAAAGAAAAATAAAATAAAATAAAGTTACATATATCAAGCCCCGGCAGGTAGCTCAGTTGGTTAGAGTGTCATCCCAATACATTAAGGTTGCTTATTCAATCCCTGATGGGGCACATAGAAGAATCAACCAATAAATGCATAAGTAAGTGGAACAACAAATCGATGTTGATGTTTCTCTCTCTCTCCCTAAAATCAATTTAAAAAAATGAATACATTTAATAAATAAATAAAGTTACATATATCTACCACATGACCCACTGATTCCATTCCTAGGCATTTAGCCAAAGGAAAAATATGTCCACAAAGGATCCTTATTCATAATGGCCAGAAACTGGAAACAATCAAAATGTCCATCAACAGGAGACTAGATAAAGAAACTGTGACACAGCTATCCAATAGAATACCACTCAGTTATAAAGAAGGAAGTACAAAGACATTTAACAACAGATATAATGCTGAGTGAAAAAAAACAGACACAAAAATTATATATTGTATTACATTAACATAAAGTTCTAAAACAAGCAAAACTAACCTATGGAGACTTTTAGAGGGCAGGAATAATGTTCTAGAATCTAGATCTTATGGTTACATGAGTAGGTACTGTGGTTAAAAACACACTGAACTGAGCCCTTAAGAACTTTGTGTTTTATTCAATGTTTAAAGTAATTTGAATGAGTAAAATGGGGCTTAAATAGTAAAGACAGTTGTTCAAAGAAATCTGCTAAGAGGGTACCAATGCAGGATCTAGGGTTAGGGAGCAATATCATGAAAAAGAAGTTTAAAAATCTGTACACTAGGATTTTGTATATCATGCCTTGGTTTAGACTCTAAACTTTAGAGGAGGCATGGCCATACAAAAACCTGGTTAGAGGTATCACACATAAATAAAGACATAAGTTAATGAGACCCTAGACCAGAATAATGGTAATGGGAATAAAAAGACAATTTTAAAAAAAGAAGAAGTATTAAAGGAAAAATTAGGTTGTAAAAGAGAAAAATGACTCTAAGTACTGAGTTCCAGATACCTGAAAGATTTGCAAGATCAATATATGAGATGAGTATTGGGGAGACGGCTTAAGACAGAAAGGGATGTATTTAATTTTAGAAGATGCAGTACCAAGAGAAGATTTAAATCAAAAGGATCTGTAAAGCATTGCAGAAAGAGCCCAGCTGGTGTGGCTCAGTGGCTGAGCATCAACCCATGCACCAAGAGGTCACCAGTTTGATCCCTGGTCAGAACATATGCCCAAGTTGTGGGCCCAATCCCCAGCTGGGGACATGCAGGAGGCAGCCAACTGATGTTCTCTCTGAGGGATGTTTCCATCTCTCTCCCTCACTCTCTAAAATCAATGAAGAGCCCTGGCCGGTTTGGCTCAGCAGTTAGAGCGTCAGCCTGCGGTCCACAGAGACCTGGGTTCGGTTCCCGCTAACGGCATGTACCTTGGCTGCAGTTTGTCCCCGGCCCTGGTTGGGTCGTGCAGGTGGCGGCCACTCGATGTGTCCCTTTCACGTCGATGTTTCTCTCTCTCTTCCTCTCTCTCCCTCCCACTCTATCTGAATAAAAAATGGAAAAATGTCCTAAGGTGAGGATAAAAAAATAAAATAAAATAAAATCAATGAAGAAAAATTAAAAAAACAAAAGGATTGCAGAAAGAGATATGAAAGAAGTCAGCTAAGAGGAAAGTTGAAAAATGAGTAATTCATAAAGGAGTCCTGCCAATAAAACCTATCATTTATATAGCAATTAACAGCTAACTAATCATTTTCATATGTATTTAGCGTACAGAAAAATGCATCAAACCAAAAAAGAGAGATGGAGGACAGAGAAACCTGTTTAAAGGCAGAAAGGAAAGTGTTTCAGGACAGGAGGCTGACAATTTTAGAGAAGTTCTAAATAAAAATGAATTCAAAGAGACAAAATCTAGAACCTTGCTACTTAAGCAGCTTCAACATCACATGGGAGCATGTTAGAAATGCAGAATCTCAGGTCCCCATCCCAGACCGACTGAATTAGAATCAATATTTTTACTATTTACTGCAGTACTAAAGATCCCCAGGTGACTCTTAAGCACTTTTAAGTTGAGAATCTCATCTGTAACACAGTATTATTATTATTATTATTATTATTATTATTATTATTATTTTTATCCTCACCCGAGGACATTTTTCCATTTTTTGTCCAGGTAGAGTGGGAGGGAGAGAGAGGAACAGAGAGAGAGAGAGAAACATCGATGTGAAAGGAACACATCGAGTGGCTGCCACACACACAACCAACCAGGGCCGGGGAGAAACCGCAACCAAGGCACGCGCCCTTAGCAGGAACCGAACCCGGGTCTCTCAGGACCGCAGGCCTACGCTCTAACCGCTGAGCCAAACCGGCCAGGGCCACAGTATTATTTTTAAACTGCAGGTCTCAACCAACAGTGGGTTATGAAATCAACTTAGAATAGAATTGAAACGTCAATGCATATCATACATACTAAGTTTGTGTGTGTGTGTGTGTGTGTGTGTGTGTGTGTGTGTCTGGGGCATGAGATAAATTTTTTTAGTGTAGGTTGAGATTTTTAAAAAAGTTTCCAGGCCAGTGTGGCTCAGTGACTGAACATCATCATCCTATGGACTGAGAGGTCCCAGTTCTATTCCAGGTCTGGGTGTGTGGGGGTTGCTGCTTGAGCCCCAGTAGGGGACCTGCAGGAGGCAGCCCATACATGTCTCTCTCCCACATAGATGTTTCTATCTCCCTTCCTCTCTAAAAAATCTATAAAAACATGTATTTTAAAAGTTTCCAAAACCTTGAACACCACGTATAGCAATAACCTGTTCTTTGGACTAAGAGTACTAAGGGGACACAAGAAACCTTATGCAGTGAAAAGGTAAAAGCATTGATTTGCCACTGTTCTTCACACTTTTTTTTGACAGTGACCCACACTAGGAAATACATATGAACTAGTAACACATACATGTATGTAATATATACATAAGATGAATTTTTTAAAAAATCAAATACTCTTACCCAGAAGTATACCCTGAAATTTCTATTTTCTTCTTTTTTAACGTTGCTCTCAACCCACTGAACCATTAAAGTGATTTCACAATTAGTGACTCTTTTATAGGTCACTACTCAAAGTTTGAAAAACAATATCTGGCTATGCTGTTTGGCCTCAATCCTTGGCTAAGAGGTGGTTTGGAAGAACTGAAGAGTTAAGAATGGCTATTATGTATAGTAAATACACCAAGGAACTGATGAAATAACGATAACCTTATTTAGCAGTAAAGAAGCCAAACTAATGCTGCACTACATCCGTTGTTAGTTTTTGTCTGTCTGCAGGTACAAAAAAGAAAATAGCAGATAGGACTAATGAGGGTTGGGAATTGAAGAACCACGGGAGTTGAGAAATGGAGATGAAGGAAACACTGGTAGTACCAAGGACTAGGGCACTGGTAACTAACCTGCCTCAGTCAAGGAAGTGAGGATGGTCCAGGATGCCTGGCCCAGAAAGGCAGGCGCTGACTGAACACATTCCCAGCTTTGGTTCCCGAAGGCTGGCTAAGATACTACATCTTGGTGACAACCAGCAAAGGCTTACAGTCTAATCCCTTCTCCCGCCCCGTTTTCAGGCTAACGTTTTTGTGTCGTGCTCGGAGGCAGCCTACGTTCGGGGCTGGGAGGAGCAGGTAACCTGGGCACGAAGAATGGAGATTAGAGCTTATTCCAAGAATCTAAGAGAGTGGCGCCAAGCTGTTGCTAGGCCTTCTCCTGACCGCAGGGGTTCGAATATAGCCAGACCCGGACAAAGGAGACCTCCTCCAGGGTCACGGCGAGAAAGCAGAACGGCAGAAACCCCGCGGTCATCTGGGTGGGCCAGCCCCAGCAATCAAAAACCTCCAGAGTCCCCCTACGTCCCATCACCCCTCGCGCGGAGCCCTGAGGCTGTCAGCGCCCTCCAGGCTCTGGAAAGGAGTGGTTTCCCTTCCCCGCTTCTCCCGTAAAGCACAGCAGCCAGCCCAGTACCACTGAGTCTTGGCAAAGCTGGAGGTGCTCCCACCTTCACTTTAATTAGCATCTTCTTCCAATATTGGGTCTGCACACAGATAAATCGCTGCTCCTGTCGCTGCGGTGGTCGCCGCCGCTCCCAGCACTCTTCCTGTGGGAGTCACGTCTGCTTCCGGGTCACTGTTTGGCTCCACCCTCCCCTTCTTTCCCCAGGGTTCCCGAAAGGCTCAGAAATGCTCCCCGCGTTTCGTTTCGGTGGCGTGGTAAAGAAGAGGAAGGCGGCCAGCTTAGTTACAGCAGAGGTGACGCCTCCGCGATTCTGAGAGTCCCCAGCGAGTCGGGCCTAGTGTAAAGACTGGGCGGAACGAACTACTTATCCCGTCATGCTGGTGGGCAGCTCCGCGCGTTCCACCCTGGGAGTTGTAGTTTCCTGCTCCTCAGACCAACGGCAACCTCGGTGTGTGAACTCTGTTAACCAGAAGCCCTCGCACTGCCACCGCTGAAGCTGGAATTCCTCGGTTAATCGTTCTCGCCCGCAATTAGCGGAACCTGTTCGCGTGGCTCACGAGGCTCAGCGGGGCTTCGCAAGGTTAGTTGCTAAGCAAAGGGAGCTTCGATCAACTGCCACCTTGACCACGGCGACAGGAAGTACCCCCTATTCCGGAAACTGGTTATGCCCCCCCCCCTTCTTACTAGCCCCCAAATCACCCTCTTACCTTAAATTACTTTTTTGCAGGGGAGAGAGAAGGAAAAGTAGTGTAAGAAATGTACCTTTTGAAGGTCACAACTCCATCCCAATTCTTCTCCCCTGGGATGGAGACACCGGGGGTAATCGCGACCACGGGACGGGTCGACCAGTGCTCCGACTTTTCACAATTTAGGCGTCAGCCCTGACAGGGCATTAAGGCTTGTTATTGGTTCAGCTACCCTCTCATGTCTTTTCTTACCTTCCAACCCTCAGATTCGTTGCTACCCTGAGGCCCCCACCATGCCTCACATCGACAACGACGTCAAATTGGACTTCAAGGATGTCTTGCTGAGGCCCAAACGCAGTACCCTTAAGTCTCGAAGTGAGGTGAGCCTGCTTTCCCTGGTGGACCAGGACTGAGAAAGATTCCTGGTACTTTTCCTCCTGCAATATTTGTTTTTTGAATGAATGAAATGCTCAGTTTCCTGTTCATATCTGCAGGTGGATCTCACAAGATCCTTTTCATTTCGCAACTCAAAGCAGATGTACACTGGGATCCCCATCATTGCTGCCAATATGGATACTGTGGGCACTTTTGAGATGGCCAAAGTTCTCTGTAAGGTAGGACTTCTCTTATGTCGCTTCCTCATTGAGGTCCAGCTATGACTGCAGTTATTTGCACCCCCATCCCCAGTCAACTCTCAGGCAATTAACAGTCCAGATGCTCCAATTTACTATTTTCTCCAGTACTAAAGCTCCTTGATTTGGTAAGTTTAAAGAACCATGTGAGTTAATGAAATTCCAAGTTTTGACCCTATTTTTCTGATATATAAACAGAACTTTCCCCTTTCTCCTGTCCAGCAGTTTATACACGTTGCCAACTTTTCCCAGCACCCAGGTCACCCCCTCCAAACACATGCATCTCTCCAGTTACGCCATTGTTAGGAAACGAAACAGTCACTGTTTTAGTTCATAAACTAAATACAGTTTGAGCATTAAAAAATTCCTAACTAGAAGATCCTAGAGAGAAGCTTATTAATTTTATTATATGCCCGTTCTTTCTTTCTTAAAAACAAAAAACTTCATTTTAAGTCCTAGATTCCTGGGAGTTTCTTGGATATGCCCCAAATGGAATGCGTTTTTCTTTTATAGAGGTTATTGTTCACTTTCAAAGTAGAAGATGCTACTCTTGTCAGTAATATTACCTGCCTCTATACTTGTAGCGGAAAAGGTAGATACTAGTTACTCTGGGCACTCTTGAGAACATACGCACTCTTCTGATTAACACATGTAGCCCCTGGTTGATGGATTCTGCTGCAGCCTGTGGCTCTGTTAGCCTTAAGGATTTCGTCTCCTTTTCTCTATTTTTGATTGCTGTAAGTCTTTGTGGAATGTCTGCTGTCATTTCTCTGAAGTTGTAGTTATTTTAGTATTGCTGATGCCGTGCACTAATTAAGAATCCTGCTGTCACCTTGTCGAGTTGAGGAATGGTGAATCTGACTTCAGTGTTAACAGACATGCTATAACACGTGGAACTTGTGGGTACTGTCTTGATGTTTTATGTTGAGAATGGCTTTTCGGTACTGCTGCTGAGTGCTAAAGAAATCAGATTTTAGAGATAGAGCCAAATCTCACAGTAATAATAAAAAGGTTGGATGCCAGTATGCATCTTTTCCTAGGTCTCTAGCTTGGTATGTAATTGGATGTGTTTATCATGCCACAACGTGCCAGTGTATCTCCAAGGTCTGCTGACCTAGAGTGCTTTTCCTTTGTTAGCATGTTAATGGCAGAGTGTTGCTGAGAGAACAGAACTCAATACCAGCTAGGTAGTGTTGATGATAACCTCTGATTAAGTATAACAATAACACTTCTTATTGCTGGCTGATGCATGAGTTCCTTGGGTTTCTTGTCAGTTGTGAGACTTGTACATCTCAGTCAACTGCTGTCTCATCTGTTTGTATGCCTGCACTTTTATTTATTTTTTATTCCTCACCTGAGGATATTTCTCTATTTATCCTCAGATAGAGTGGGAGCGAGGGAGGAAGAGAGACAGAGAGAAACATCGATGTGATTGGTTGCCTCCCGCATGACCCAACCAGGGCTGGGGATGAACCACAACTAAGGTATGTGCTCTTGACGGGAATTGAACCCGTGACTCATTGGTCTGTGGGCCGATGCTCTAACCACTGAGCAAAACCGGCCAGGGCTGTATGCCTGCACTTTTATCTTAACTAATTAATTAATTAATTTTTAAATTTATTTTTCGTTACTGATTTGAGAGAGAGAGGAAGGGAGAGGGAGAGAGATAGAAACATCGATGAGAAAGAACATCGACTGGTTGCCTCCTTCGTGGCCCCCACTACTGGGGATTGAGCCCACAGCCTGGAAATGACCAGGAAATGAACTGGCAACCTCTTGGTGCATGGGTTGTCGCTCAACCACTGAGCCACACCGGCCGGGCTGTATACCTGCACTTTTTTTTTTTTTTTAATCCTCACCCAAGGACATTTTTCCATATTTTATTCAGCTAGAGTGGGGGGTGAGGGGAGAGAGAGAGAGAGAGAGAAAGAAACATCGACGTGAAAGGGACACATCGAGTGGTTGCCACCCGCACAACCCAACCAGGGCCGGGGACAAACTGCAACCAAGGTACATGCCCTTAGCGGGAACCAAACTCGGGTCTCTCCGGACCGCAGGCTGACACTCTAACCCCTGAGCCAAACCGGCCAGGGCTGTATCCCTGCACTTTTAAAGCACAAGCACCAGCATTCACAGTGGCCTTTGAATGCCTTCCTTAAAGTACTGGGATATTGTTTGCAATTTGTTGAGCTAGGAAATACAAATCCATTGAGTCATATCCTTGTACTTGGTTGACTGAAATAGACGGAATGAAATAAACTTTTCAGGTTGGTCCATGTTTCAAGAAAATTTGTCCTTTACTCCAACGGAGATGGAGAAAGGATGAGGTAGCATCTTACCGGCTCTATTAAACTTAAGATCTTACCTTTTGTGAGCATTTATTGATATATATTTAGAGAGGGAGGAAGGGAGAGAGAGAAGTGTGAAAGAGATAAATTGATTGGCTGCCTCCCAGGTATGCACCAACCAGGGGATCGAACCCGCAACCCAGGTATGTGCCGACTGGGAATTGAACCCGTGACCTTCTGGTGCATGAGGTGATGCTCCAACCAACCGAGCAACCTGGCCAAGGGCACCTTTTGAGAACATTTAGATTCACTGAACTACTGCGGGTAAATTGACCAGAAGATACGAAAAATAGGTCTTCTACTGGGTTACCACAGAAGAGAAGGGTCTGAGTCAGTGTAGGCAGACACTGGCTCTGTTTAGCGTCTTCATGGTTCTTTCTAGTCTACTGCTTGTCCCACTGCACCAACAGCTTGTCCTTGTTACCTTTTAAGTCCGAAGCACTGTATGTGCTGGCAAGTGAAATCAAAACCAGGTAACTTAGTACTTTGGTGGGAGAGTTTGACAGTACTAGCTTATGGTAAAAAGTCCTACTGGGATTTGTACGGAGATGAATGGTTGAAGTAAAAATTTCAGTTCAGCCCTGGCTGGTTTGGCTCAGCAGTTAAGAGTGTCAGCCTGCGGTCCAGAGAGACCCAGGTTCGGTTCCCGCTAAGAGCACGTGCCTCGGTTGCAGTTTGTCCCTGGCCCTGGTTGGTTGTGCGGGTGGCAGCCACTCGATGTGTCCCTTTCACATTGATGTTTCTCTTTCTCTCTCTTTTCCTCTCTCTCCTTCATACTCTACCTGAACAGAAAAAAAAAAAGGAAAAATATCCTCGGGTGAGGATAAAAAAACAAAACAAAACAAAAATTTCAGCTCAACCCGAGTTCTTTAAGTTTCTCTTTCCAGACTTCAGCCCTTTCCCCCCTCAGAGAGAATATTAAAAAGTCTATTTCTAGAAAAAGAGACTCTAGTAAAGTTCTCTCCTTTATGATGGCTTTTTTTCTCCTCAGTTCTCCCTCTTCACTGCTGTCCATAAACACTACAGCCTCAAGCAGTGGGAAGAGTTTGCGAGCCAGAATCCTGACTGTCTTGAGGTAATACTGGTCCTCCTGTGATCCCATCCTTATAGAGTTTTTCCAGGAATCTTTTCTTGGCTTCCTGGGGATCAGCCCTTACCTCCCCATCCCTGTTGGCCGCTCATCAGGTCATTTCTAACATACCACCAGCTGTCTAATGCCTCCCATGCCAATGTCCGTTTCTCCCACAGCATCTGGCTGCCAGCTCAGGCACAGGCGCTTCTGACTTTAAGCAGCTGGAACAGATCCTGGAAACTATTCCTCAGGTGAAATATATATGCCTGGATGTGGCAAATGGCTACTCTGAACATTTTGTTGAATTTGTCAAGGATGTACGGAAGCGCTTCCCTGAACACACCATCATGGTACGTTTCTGTTACCCTGTAGCTGGCACATCCCTCTCCTTCTTCCACTCTTTTGTGCCAGTTTTTGTTACATCAGTTCATTTCTCCTCTGCTGCATTATAATTTTCCCGGTCTGCTTAATCATGTCACTGGGCAGTTATCCATGGTTCCATGCTTTAAATGTTTATCGATCATTGCAATCTCTGACCCTTGATACAGTCTTTGTAAATCCAGTGTTCCTGACATCATTCACCAAAACATGATGTGCTTATGCATTGTACCTACCTGTGATACATATATACCTGCCTGCTGATATGGACATGGTACTACAGTCCTATTAAAGGGATCACATGCACAACAATGAGGTATCACCTCACACCTGTCAGAATGGCCGCCATCAACAAATCATCAAACAAGTGTTGGCGAGGGTGTGGAGAAAAGGGGACTCTAGTACACTACTGGTGGGAATGCAGACTGGTGTAGCCACTATGGAAAACAATATGGTGTATCCTCAAAAAATTAAAAAGTTGAACTTCCATTTGACCCAGTGATCCCACTTCTAGGAATATACCCTAAGAAGCCTGAAACACCAATCAGAAAGAATATATGTACCCCCTTGTTTGTAGCAGCACTATTTACAATAGCTAAGATCTGGAAACAGCCCAAGTGTCCATCAGTAGACGAATGGATAAAAAAGCCATGGTACATATACACAATGGAGTACTATGCAACTGTAAGAAAGAAAGATCTCTTATCCTTTGAGACTACATGGAGGGACCTGGAAAGTATTATCCTAAGCGAAACAAGCCAAACAGAGAAAGACAAGTATCATATGATCTCACTTATTTGTGGAATATAATGAACATAACAGTCTGAGGAATGGGGTAGTCCCAGAGACGTGGAAGTGGGGTACAGACTAACAATCCCCAGAATAGCAGGAGAGATAAACCACAGAACTTATATGCATGTATGCATGAACAATGGACATGGACAACAAAGCTGGGGACAGGGCAGGGAGGGAGGGGGAGGGGGGAAATCAGAGGGGGAAAAAGGAGAAACATCTGTAACAAAAATAAATAAATTAATTAATTTAAAAAAAGGGATCACATGCAACAATGTTTATTTTTTTTAGTAGTATTTTTTTTTATCCTCACCTGAGGACATTTTTTTCATTTTGTTTTTGTTCAGATAGAGTGGGAGGGAGAGAGAGAAACATCGATGTGAAAGGGACATATCGAGTGGCTGCCTCCTGCACAATCCAACCAGGGCTGGGGACAAACTGCAACTGCGATACGTGCCCTTGGCAGGAACCAAACCCAGGTCTCCCTGGACCTCAGGCTAATGCTCTAACCACTGAGCAAAACCAGCCAGGGCCAACAATGTTTTATTTTTTTACAAGCTTAGGGGAGTGATGACAAGGCCTCGTTTTCTTCACAGCATTGAGGGATATCACTTTTCTGTCCATCAGAAGCAAATACAACTATGTAGATGGGTATTTAGCCTACATTACCACATCTTCCCCTTTTCCCTAAGCCCAGAGAGGTTATATCACATAACAGCTTAATGGCAGAAAATATTTGGGTCTCTTGGTGGGGAGGGGAAGATAAATCCATTGTAAATCAAATTTCGTCTTGGTCCATTTGGACCACAGCTTTACCCTAGTGCAACAGTGAAACTGGCCACTAACCCCCTTACCTTAGCTGGGGAAGCAGGGTCCTTTTGTGTGTGTGTGTGTGAATTCTCACCTGAGGATATTTTTTTCCCCTTGATTTTCAAAGAGAATTGAAGAGGGGAGTGGGGAGAGAGAAAGAGAAACATTGATGTGAGAGAGACACATTGACTGGCTGCCTCCCGCATGCACCCCAACCAGGGCCGGGGATCAAACCTGCAACAGTGGTATGTGTCCTTGACTGGGAATCGAACCCACAACCCTTAGGTGTGTGGGCTGACACTCTGTCCACTGAGCCACACTGGCCAGGGCTTTTTTTTTTTTTTTTTTAAGGTTTATTGATTTTTAAAGAGAGAGGGAGGGAGAAGAGAGAAACATCAATGTGGGAGTATAACATTGATCAGCTGCCTTCTGTAGGCCCCCTACTGGGGATCAAGCCTGCAACCCACGCATGTGCCCTGACTGGGAATCAAATGAGCAACCTCTTGGTGCACAAGATGACACCCAGCCAACTGAGCTGCACCAAGCCAAGGCAGCAGGGTCCTTTGAAATGGTTAGTCTAAACGCTCTCACAGGGCCCAGTAGAGGGAACCCAAGTGGTACCCTTCTTTGTAATAATGTTAGAAGGTCCTGGTCCAGGCATGCTGTGTATGAGAGCACATAAACTCCTCTTCATTTCTGACCTTAAAAATGCTGTTTTGATGGTTATGTCTCAGGCAGGGAATGTGGTGACAGGAGAGATGGTGGAAGAGCTGATCCTCTCTGGGGCTGACATCATCAAAGTGGGAATTGGACCAGGTAAGTTGGCTCATTGGGGGCCATTGGTTACCTCTTCAGTGCAGACACCTATGGAGCACTTCACTCTCGTCCTTGTCACATTCTTCTTAGGCTCTGTGTGTACCACCCGAAAGAAAACTGGAGTGGGGTATCCACAGCTCAGTGCAGTGATGGAGTGTGCAGATGCTGCTCATGGCCTCAAAGGCCACATCATTTCAGTAAGGTCCAAGGACAGAGTAGGGTATGAGGCTGCCAATTATCTGGGTTTTCTGCTGGGTATGGAAGCTCTGATAGAGGAGGGTCAGGACTCCTGGGTTCCTGTCAGCTTTGAGGTGGGCTGTTCGGACATCGCTGAGAGGGCTTGGGAAATCCATGCTATCTCTTCACAATGCTTCTCACTTTGCAGGATGGAGGCTGTAGCTGTCCTGGGGATGTGGCCAAGGCTTTTGGTAAGGACACTGGGAGAGCACAGAAGAAGGACCCTATAGAAGAGGACAAGTCACCTTTGAGGCTCTAGGATCAGGCTAAGAAAGGCTGAGGAAACCACTCAGGTTCTTTCATAATATGAACTCGTGACCCTGAAGCCTGTGGTGTCATCTGGGGCGAGCAAGCTGAGACTCTGATATAGACTCTCCCAAGTGTGGGCCAGGACCATCTGCACCATCCCCTGGACTGTTGGGCAAAGTAAATGCCTAAACCTTAGAGTTAAAAAAAATCCAGCTTTGGAGAGTGGGGCTGTGGATCTGCATTTTTTTTTACAGCTTCCCAGATGATCCTTGCTCACACTAATCTTGGAGACCTTTGCTCTTGGAACACTTGAAGTGAGTCTTACTCACTGGGTACAGTAAAAAGAAATGACCAGAAGATGGCAAAGGAAGCAAAAAGAGAGAGCAAAGCCAGGCAGGGAATCTCTAGTGGCTTTAAATTTTTTTTTGGAGAAGCCAGAGGAATAGCGGCCAGGGCAGAGCAAGCCTATGTGGGCTGTGGACCAGCTAGGGCAACAAAACCAGGAAGATGCTGGAATCATTTTAAGGACTGAGAATTTGGTGTGAGTTGCTTCTGAGGCTGGGTGGGCATGTGGACACCTGGGCCAGATTCATCTTTTTTCTCCTCATTGATAGGGGCAGGGGCTGACTTCGTGATGCTGGGTGGCATGCTGGCCGGGCACAGTGAGTCAGGTGGTGAGCTCATCGAGAGGGATGGCAAGCAGTACAAACTCTTCTATGGAATGAGTTCTGACACAGCCATGAAGAAGTATGCTGGGGGCATTGCTGAGTACAGGTATGTGCAGAGGCCCAGGAGCTGAGGGTTCTTGGAAGGTGTGACTAAATAGGGTGGTGGCAGAACTCAGGGCTGTTGGGAGGTGGATGGTATTGTTCTTGGGAGAAAAGTGGTGAACCAGGGCTATGGACTGGGGAAGAGTCATTGGGCTTAAGGAATCCAGAAGGAAAAGGAAAGAAAATTGTTTCCTCCTCTAAGGGCCTCGGAGGGAAAGACGGTGGAGGTGCCCTTCAAAGGGGATGTGGAACATACCATCCGTGACATACTTGGAGGCATCCGTTCCACATGTACCTATGTAGGAGCAGCTAAGCTGAAGGAGCTGAGCCGGAGAACCACCTTCATCCGTGTCACCCAGCAGGTGAATCTAAGCTTCAGTGGTGTGAGCTAGGCTTCAGCAGTTCAGTTCTGCCCTCCAAGTCACCAGCACCAAACCATAGGGCCTCCCAAGCGGGCCCCTCACCATCCCAGCTACTATGACTATCACTTGATCATCTCACTCCTGAGATTTCCTGCAATAATGCTATACTTCTCTATCTGCACCCGCAAAATACCCAGGGCGCTTACTGGGGAGGAAGCAAGGAAGGCAGGCTGAGAAAATGAAGTTAAGATAATCAAATGGGAATCTGGGGACCCAGCTCCTGAAGATTATTAAAAGAAGAAGATACTGATTCATACAACTGTTTTATATATGGCTGTGGTCTTTGGAAGTAGGCTTTTAAAATCATGTTTTGCTAATCAGCTTCATTAAATAGGATCTTTGAATATCTGAAAAGCTCTGAAGTGTTATCATTTTTAAAATTTCCCTATAAAGAGAGATCCCGATGACTGTAAATAGATTCTGGAGCTTTCTGGGTGCTGCTCCAGGGCAAGTGAGGTGGAGGTGGCACTGACCCAGTGGAGTCAAGAAGAGTGAGTACTTTTCCCATGAAACATCTCCATTTGAGTGGCACCAACCAACCCCCAGAATTTACAGAGTATATATTTTGGCATCAAGACACAGATATTTTCAGAATAGGGAAATTTCTCATCCAGGTTCTCAGCCCTGGTAATCTTTCTGGTACATCTGAACACCACTTTGCAAGGGAAGTAAAAGAGCAAAAGGATTCTTTTAGCCTTGGAGAGGCCAGCCCTGTTTCTAAATGATCTACACAGACCTTACAGAAGCCTTAATTCCCCTCCCGCACACCAATACAGTGTTTTAATAAACCCAAAGTTTAATTATCAAGCATTACAAAGTAATTTGGGCCATGTAGTCAAGCAACCCAAGCCTAGGCTTCCACTTTATTCCCACTAAACTGCCTGTAGAGGTGAGGAGGGCGGAGACAGGCAGGATGCAGACAACATTCCAGTCCTATTGGAGGAGTCTATATGATCATGGGAAGGGGCAGACACAACACTGGGGCTAGGATGGGGGAGGTATTCATAGAAGGTGGGGATTAGGGTGTCAAACTTTGTCTTCTCATAGTTTTCCAGAGTCTCCTGCAGAGAAGGGAGCAGGGAGATTCTGTCATCTGAAACATTCCGTGAGCCCTCCATATTCAGGAGCATGGGGGCGGGGGGGTGGTTCTGTCTTGTTCTGCCCCAGCTTTCTGTTCCTCTCTACTCACCATTCCTCCCCTCTGGCCATTTTCTTCCTCATCAGAGTCCAAAACCAAGTCCCCTATGGTAATGACAGGGCTGCACAGAGATGGAGGACATGCTGCAGAAAGGAAACCAGAGTCAAAGTACTCTTCTAGGTGAACACAAGCCCTCAAGTGAGGAGGATTTCTGACCCAGTCCTGACTCAATATAGCTACCTGGCTTCCTGGCCTTTGGAGGTGATAATGACAGTCTCAGGGACTCCAGGGGGCTGTCCCAGCAATTCCTGGGGTGAGAACAAGCAAAGAAGATAGGATAAGGGGAAAGCAGGCAAGGAATGTGCTGCTAGTAGGCAGAAGCAACGGTTCCACTCACTCTTTTTGCTCCGAGGCAGACAAGTCAACTGGGTTCTCCTGCACAGTCCTTCCACCCAGGGTCTGGGATGGACTCCTAGACTTTCCAGTGGAGGCTGCTCTCGTGTCGACATCTCCTGCTGGAACTGCCATGTGTGTCCCTTGTTCTTCCCTGTTCTCAGGTTTAGATATAACCTGGGTTGGTGAACCCAGATTCCTAAAGGGGTACAGCATGACTGTGGGGCGCTCCTTATGGCCTACCCTAGTGGATGCCCACTGGGAATGGATTCTTCGCTGGCCTAGAGGGGCCAGATTGAAGTGATGGCCAGCCAAAGGTTCTGAGTGCTTCCTTAAGGCTGGTACCTCAGGAAGGTTTGGGCCAGGCTTGGCTTTTGGCAGAGGTTGGTGGAGTGCTGGTCTTGGTTGCTGGGGAGGCCTCTGCTCCATGGGCTCTGTCACGTTCACTGAATTAGTAACAGAGCACTCTAAAAAGAAAAGATTGTTCCTTATAAAAAGAATAGACAGTAATATATCAACTCAGTCCAGTTTCTTGTGTTTTGGGCCCATGTAACCCTTCTAATGGACGGGCTATCTCAAAAGGTCTCAGGTTAAACACTCCACCCGCAAATTCCTAATTCTCCCAGATGGTCCTGGTACCTGGAAGTGGCCACCCCATGTCCACACCATACTGGCTCAAAGCAAAAGAAGAAGTGATAGAAATTCCAGGCTGCATCCAACTCAGCACATCCTGAAGCTGTGGGCAGGGAGAGAGCATGAGGACCACAGTCTTTAATCAAACCACCCCACACTCTGCCCTCTGTGTTTTGCCCCAAGAAAACCTGCTGAGCCTGTGGTGCAGGCAGCGCTTTTTCCAGCTGACATAAGTATTCAAAAAACAGCTTTTCCATAGCAGCCAGAAAAGGTTCCCCATACTCTTGTTCAAGTTCCTGCAGAGCAGAAAAAAGTAGGTTAAAAGAGGACTAAAGAAGAAAGCCACACCATAGCTTCCAAACTAGCCTGTCTCACCTGCAACTTCCCAGCCAAATCCACAGGGGCTTCTGCCAGCCCCTTCACCTGCTGGCAAAAGGCTTCTTGTGCCTCGGAGATCTTCTTCAGATCCTGCTTTGTCTGTTGAAGGTAGAGAAGGCAGACAAGTTAGGGGTACCAAGGGTTAACTGGGGTGGGGACCGTTCCAGGGATTACTCACAGCTTTGGGGTCCCGCACTACAGGTCCAGACTCTGGGAAGTGGTGATGCAGGGCATTCAGAACCTGAGCCCAAGGCCGGCCCTGGAGGATCAGCTCCACCACCACCTGTGAATAGTACTGAGCTCAGAATTCCCACTGCGGGGCAAGCTCCCCTTTTGCATCTGGTCCCACCCCCCAAGCGGTCCGTCCTAGTCAGGTCCTTGCATCCCGCCCTTTCCCCTCTTCCTTTTCCTGGTCCCACTGGCTCTAATACCTTGGCCTTTAGGCCCATACACAGGCGTTCGTGGTGGCGATAGCGAACTAAGCCAGGAGCAGCAGCGCGCAGGGACCGCAGAAACTCCAACACTCGCGGAAAATGTTCCACTAAGCGTTGGCGCACGACTAGCCAGCTGGCAGCCGCAGCAAAGCGCAGAGCAGCGGGACCGGCCCCCGGGGGCGTAGCCATGGCCGGCGAGCTCCGCCCCGGGGGCAGAGCTTGGGCTTCTTTCCTCCACCGCGAGGCTGCCTCCCCCTAGGGGCGGGGCTTCCGCTGGCCCTTAGTGGCTCGGCTGTTTCGATGGTCGCCGTATACTTTGCGGTCCGACTCAGTGCTTTTCCATAGGCTGCCAGGATTTTGGAGGTTTTTTTCCAATTTGGGAAGGAGCCTGAGTGGAGAATGTAGCCGGTTCCAATGGCACCAGGTCGTTCGCTCTGCCTTAAACGGCCCCGTTGTCTCCAATCTGAGAGCTATCGCGCTTCCGGTCCTGCGACCAGTTTTCTTGCCCCGGAAAAGGGCGGTAATGGATAACCAATGGGCCACCGGCGAAGGGAAACGTGACGGTGCGTCATAAGGCCACGCCCCGGCGGGTGGGGCCCCGCCCCCCTCTCTGTCAAGTTCCTTGGTCCATGGCTAGGCTGCCTGAACAGCGGGTCTCGGCCCTCCTGGCCCCAGTCTTTCTTTGTGGAGCCTGCAAAGAAGTCCCTCTCTGAGGCTTGACTTTCTAGTTCGTAAAGCGGGGCCGTGCCAGTTGTCCTCTCCATCCTCATCACCCACTGAGATACGATTCCTTAAATGCAAGACCTCAAACCAGCGCTGCAAAGCCTTCCTGTTGGCACGCCGCTTCCAGTAAGAATTCAATTATTCCTTCTACAAAGCAAAAGAGGGCGCCACCTTTTAAAAGTTTGAAAAGATATGTAAGATTGTTAACCTGGTTTTCTCTGGTTGGTGACACTGTAGGTAATTTATGTGCTTTTCTGTTTTTGTTTTTGTATCTTTGTAATTAAAAAATTAAAAAATGTGTAACATAGTTTCCTTTTTTGAATTTCTGTTATGCTCTTAGTCCAGACAGCCCCTAATGTAATTGACTATTTTACTCCTCCGTCTCCTTGTCACCCTTCCTGGTGTCTATATTTACATTGCCAAGTGCAGAACCTGGCACATGTGTATATTCTTTGTTGATGGAATGAATTACCTGCCCTGATCACTTTACAGGGCTTTAGTGAAACTACCCTTCCCATGGGCTATCTCCTTCCCTACAGTAATGGCTTCCATATCTCCACCCAAGGACTGAAGTGACCCACTTATTCAACTGTCTGTGGGACATTTAGTTGGAGGTCCCAAAAGTACCCAAATTGGATACGTATACAATTCTAGTTATCTCCCTTATTAAAAAATATGTTTTTATTAATTTTTTGAGAGAGAGAGGAAGGGAGAGAGAGATGGAAACATCAATTTGAGAAACATTGATCGGCTGCCTCCTGCACGCCCCCTACTGGGGGAAGGGGTTGGAGCCTGCAACCTGGGCGTGTGCCCTGACCCAAAATCGGACTGGGACCTCTCAGTCCATGGGAGACACTCAATCCACTGAGCCATGGCGGGGGGGGGGGGGGGGGGGGGGGGGGGCTAGTTATCTCCCTTCTAATTTTACCTTTACTTATTCTTTCCGTAAAGTTCTTCTTTTATGTAGATATCTGAGTTTCTGACCTATATCATTTTGCTTCTTTCTGAAAAGGTTTCTTTCTTTCTTTCTTTCTTTTCTTTTTTTTTGTGGTACGTGCCCCTAGCAGGAACCGAACCTGGACTCTCTGGTCCACAGGCCTATCTATGCTCAACCACTGAGCCAAACTGGCCAGGGCTGAAAAGGTTTCTTTTAATATCTCTTGCAAGTCAGGTCTCCTGGTGACAAATTTTTTAAATTTTTGTTTGTCTGAGAAAGTCTTTATTTCTCTTTCACTTTTAAAAGATAATTTTGTGCCCAGCGGGTGTGGCTCTGGTTGAGTGTGGTCCCATGGACGGAGAGGTATAAGTTTGATTCCTGGTCAGGGCACATGCCCATGTTGTGGGCTCTATCCCCAGCAGGGGGCGTGCAGGAGGCAGCCGATCAATGTTTCTCTCTCACATTGATGTTTCCATCTCTCTCTCCGATCCTCTCTCTCTAAACAATCAATAAAAACATAGTTTTAAAAAAGAGATAATTTTGCTGGATACAGAAGTCAAGGCTGGTGGGTTTATTTTCCTTCAACATGCTAAACTTTTCATTCCACTACCTTCTTACTTGCATGCTTTCTGAAGAGAAGTCTGATGTAATTCTTATCCTTCCTCTTCTGTAGGTATGGCATCCCCCCTCCTACCCTCCAGGCTTCAAGATTTTCTTTTGCTGTTTTATTTTCTGCAGTTTGATTATGATATGCCTAGGTGTGCTGTTTTGTTTTGTTTTGTTTTGTATTTATCATGCTTGGTATTTTCTGAACTTCCTCCATCTGTTTGGTGTCTATCATTAATTTTGGGAAATTCTTGGTCATTATTGCTTCAAATATTTCTTCTCCTTCTGGTATTCCAATGTGTAATTGTAGTTTTGTACAATTTTGTAATTGTACCACAGTTCTTAGATATTGTTTTGTCTTTTTTTTTAGTTTTGGAAATTTCGATTGACATTTATTCAAGTTTACTGATATTTTCCTCAGCCACGTTCATCTATTGATCAGCCTGTCAAAGGCACTCTTCATTTCTATTACAGTGTTATTTATATCTAGCATTTGCTTTTGGTTCTTAGTTTATATCTCTCTGCTTATACTACTTATCTGTTCTTACATGTTGTCTTTTTTTTTTTTTTAATTAAAGCCTTTAACACACTGATGATAGTTTTATTTTATTTTTATTTATTTATTTTTTTACTTCTTTTTTTTTTTATCCTCACCCGAGGATATTTTTCCATTTTTTGTACAGATAGAGTGGGAGGGAGAGAGAGGGAGAGAGAGAGAGAAACATCGATGTGAAGGGACACATCGAGTGGCTGCCGCCCGCACAACCAACCAGGGCCGGGGACAAACTGCAACCAAAGTACGTGCCCTTAGCGGGAACCGAACCCGGGTCTCTCCGGACTGCAGGCCGACGCTCTAACCGCTGAGCCAAACTGGCCAGGGCTGATGATAGTTTTAAATTCCTGGTCTAATAATTCCAATATTTTTGCCATATGGGTCTGGTTCGGATGCTTCGTCTTCTGTCTCTTCAAAGTGTACTTTTTTGTCTTTTTGTATGCCTTGTAGTTTTTTGTTGAAAGTGAGATGTATTGGTAAAAAAAACTGAGGTAAACAAGCCTTTTGTGTGAAGTTTTATGTTTACCTGGCTAGGAGTTAGTCTGTATTGTTTACTATAGCTGTAGGTGTCAGAAACTAAAATTTCCTCTGGTGTATTATTGTCTCCCTGTTGTTTTGGGGATTCTCTAGTAATGTCTTAAATAAGGTCTGAGTGTGCAGGACTTTCCATTGTATTCCTGTCATTATCTGGGTAGATCATTAGTACTGAGGAGGGAGTAAAATGTGGCCTGAGGATTAGTAGGAATAAGAAATCAAGATGGAGCCCTGGCCAGATTTGCTAAGTGGTTAGAGCATCAGCCCTTGAACAGAAGGGTTGCAGGTTTGATTCACAGTCAAGGGCACGTACCTGGGTTGCATGTTCGATTCCTGGCCCTGGAGGTGACCAGTGGAGCGACACATTGATGTTTCTCTCTTGCTCTCTCTCTCTCCTTTCCAATCTATCTAAAAATCAATGGAAACGATATCCTTGGGTGAGGATTAACAACAACAACCGAAAAAGAAAGAAAGGAAAGAAATCTAGATGGAGAGGTAAAGGAACAAAGGGGATTGTTGTGGCAATGTGATTTTGACTATTACATGTTGGAGCAGTGCTCAGATTAAAGAATTTTGTGGTATTTTTTTTAAGAGAATATTTAACATGGAGAGGGTATAGAACTGAGGATTCAATATTTTGACTCTGGAAAATTGTTTTTGGTTCAATTGACCCTATCTGGTATAAAGAACTCTTTCTGATATTGAATTGATGGAAGAAATAAAACTTATCTATGCTTTACATCATTACAAGTTAAAGATATTTCCAAAGTACAGAGACAGGCTGGCTCCAAACTACCACAGAAAGCTTTTACTAAAGTGTCAGTGATACTTAATATATGTTAAGGCTCCTGTGGACCTTTGTCTTGTACAGGACCTTAGGTTCTCAACAAAGAATCTATAGCAGTGTACTCTGAAGACCATCAAGCTAGACATGGGAGGCTGTAGTACTCTTTGAATATGTAGCACTGGAGGGATGTACTCCTCTGTCTGAAACAGGTTGAATGGGATGTAATCTGTACACTCAAAATTGAGGTGCTGTGAGTGAGAGGAAATCTATTGCCAAACCCCACAGATGTTGCTCCCACCAGAGAAAAAGAAATCTTCCTGAACTCACATATCTTTCCATTTCTTACAGGAAATTCAGCTCCATTATAATATTGTGGGACCACCATCATATATACGATCCTTCGTTGACCAAAACGTCATTATGTGGCTATGACTGTTATCTTGTTTACTCTTCTAGAGTGCCTTGCACCACAGGATCTTCGCACAGGTGTTCCTTCTACCTGGAGTGATCTCCTTTCCCTCTCTGCCTATCCTCCAGGGTCACCTATTTAGGTAAAGCTTTCCTGACCACCACCAGGAGGCTAGGTCCCTACTCTCCTTCAGAGCTACCTGCTCTCCTTTGTCTCATGCATTTATTCATTTATTCATTTAATGTTTTTTTCTCAGACTCTAAGTTTCAAAGGGCAGGAACTAGGTTTGTCCTGTGCTTGGCATGTGTTATTAAATATTTGTTAAATGGGTGAAGGAATGGGTCCGTTAGCCATCATCACGGCTGGACCCTGCCAGTGGGAGTCTCCAAAAAAACTTCTGGTCGAACTGTGGACAAAATTCCCTTCCTAGAATGGACTTTAGAACAACTGAAGCTAGTCATTATTTTCATTAAAAAAAAATTTTTTTTTCCTTTATTGCTTTTAGAGAGAGAGGAAGTGAGAGGGAGAGATGGAAACATCGATGAGAGAGAACATTGATTGGCCGCCTCCTGCATGCCCCCCACTAGGGATCAGGCCCACAACCCGGGCATGTGTCCTGACCGGGAATCAAACCGGCGACCTCTTGGTGCATGGGTCGACGCTCAACCACTGAGCCACACCGGCCGGACTTTTTCAAAATGAACTTTGTTTAAAATGAATTGCAACCACTATAGTCTGATCCATAAAGCTGAGTCACATGTTGTAAAATTTTGTTTTTATATTTGTGATTAGTTTCCCCTTACTTGCTTATTAATAGGAAGATAAAATCATCCTTTTGGTGTTTTTACCTCTCCCAGAATTTTCCAAGAAAATTCCAAAGGGGCAGGCCTTGTTAGGGGTGAGCTCTGCTATTCACAGGGTTTGCCATACTTTTCTACCCATTGCGGGTCCT